ACAGCAGTAGGTCTCAACATATATAAAAGGAAATTTAAGATTCTAAGATACAACACAACATGCACCAACCAAATCACTCTTCATGCAGATGCCTTGGAGGACGTTAACACCTTTACATATCTAAGCAGCACCTTCGACGAGAAAGGTGGATACGATGCAGATGTGAGTGCGCGGATTGGCAAAGTAAGGGCTGCATTTCTACAACTGAAAAATATCTGGAATTCCAAACAAATATTAATCAACACTAAAATCAGGATTTTCAATCGAAATATCAAGACAGTTCTTCTGTATGCAGCTAAAACTTAAAGAACTACCAAAGGCATGATCCAGAAGATACAAGTATTTATGAACAGTTGTCTTTGCAAAAATACTTCGAATTCGTTGGCCAGACACTAACAGCAACAACTTACTGTGGGAAAGAACAAACCAGATTTCAGTGGAGGAGGAAATCAGGAAGAAGCGGTGGAGGTGAACAGGACACACACTACGAAAAGCACCGAACTGAATCACAAGACAAGCCCTTATATGGAACCCTCAAGGCAAAAGGAAAAGAGGAAGGCCAAAGAATACATTACACCGAGAAATAGTGAAAGACATGAGAAGAATGAACAAACCTGGAAAGAACTAGAAAGGGAAGCCCAAAACAGAGTAGGTTGGAGAAAACTGGTGAGCGGCCTGTGCTCCATCGGGGGTAATAGGCGTAAGTTAGTAAGTAATGGATGCCTTTCTTAGAGTAGTATGACAATTTGAACTTATGTACTCAGGTAAGAAGTTCTACGTTGTAACTGTCTGTTTTGTCTGTCTTGGTAGTGCACATTTTTAGTACTACACTAGACTACGGAGTATCCAACTTCCTATATTTGATTTCATTGGGAACGCTTGATTTTTTAGTCCTGCAAGGTGGTATTTAATTTTATATGTGTTAAAGTTGTGTTATTTCATGATATTATGTGACCATCTTTCATTGTGGATAACTCTCTCGTTACTTGTCTGATTAAACAGTCACAACTGATCATTGTTGACATCATTAAACGATGTTAGCTAGACATCCATTGGGGAGATTAAAATTGAGGTTTATTATGTCACACAGCATAACCTTAGAGTCAGTGCTTCTGTGAACTAATACACTGTTTCCGTCTGATCTGCATTAAGTTCATCCAATCACTATCAGCATCGAAATGTGGAATAGATTGGTGAACGTTTAGGCGTGACATGCATCGCATTTCAGTTCTTTGATGTTATACAAAAACTGACTATTGATGATTTCCCAAAACTAATTAGACTTCACTTGATAATGTTTCCGATGCTTTCAAATTTGCTTAAGATCTCTCATGTTGAGGTTTCATTCAGTTTTCATTTAAAAATGCTTCATTTAACACTTTATTGGCTACTGAAAAGAATTTAGAATATTTCTAATAGGTTGAATGGAAATCTAGTAAGATTGATGAATTGATTTTCATGAGACTATCAAGGCTACAGTCACAAGAGAGATATTACTATTATTATCATTATTTTAGTTAATGTTATGCTTTTCTGTGAAGATTCGTAACAGGCCACATTCAGCTACTATGTCATAATTGTAGTGGACAAATTACAGAGTATAATTTTCTTGGCTATCATCTCTGATTAGACCATTGATACGTTTCATTAAAGTGGAATCTCATACAAACTATGCGATTCTCCATAATTTTCCAGCAATTGTTCAAATAATGACAGACTATGATTCGTATTATGTTGTGTAATATTCTCATCATGACTCACACTCTACTCGCCATGGATGATGATCAAATTTAAAAAATCTACGCAACTCTTATAATGATATTTTGAAATTTGATCTGTACTACTGATATTACTTTACCAGCTCAAACTCCTAATTTAGTAAATATTACTTCTAGAGAATTGTTTTTAGATAGTAGTTATATGATGATGAGTCCTACACCAGGACAGAACTCACATCCAGTGCTTTCAGGTTCACTAATGATGGTCTAACAATGACTCGTTCATAATTTCAATGTAATATATCGCTTTTCACCTAGAAAAAATCTAATATACAATAATTTTATAAATCAAATATTTATGAAATAAATTGATAAACCAGTTTCGAAAATATTCTTCAATAATTTCACTTACTGTCCTTACTCTAATTTTGCTAGTTATCCATAGTGGAGCATAGGTCGCTGACCAGCAAGCATTCTTCAACATTCTCCGTCCTCGGCCTTCATTTCTAGTTCTGTCCAGCTGTTGTTTAATCTTTTCATGCTTGTCTCCAATACTCAGCGTAATGTGTTCTTTGGTTTTCCTCTTCTTCTTTGTCCTTGAGGATTCCAAGTTGAGGCTTGTCTGATGGCCCAGTTGAGTGCTTACCTCAAAGTATGTCTGCATTCTTTTGCAGAGCTTCTTTCTGATCTCCTCCTCCCCCGTCGCTTTATTATGATTTGTTCTCTCCATATGAATTGTTTCTGTTGGTTAGCCCCTTTTTTGGGGCAAGTTAGTTTTCTAGAGGATGGGGTCGCTAACCCCATATGCTCAACCCCCCTCCTTTATTCGGTCTTGGGATCAGCAGTAGCTCTAGAGGAAATTTATGCCGAGTTATTTATAATCCAGTCGTAAAAAAAATCACTTCGTTGAATTTCATATGTTTAACATAAAATGAAAGTAAATTTTAAGATTAGTGATTGTACAGTTGACTATGTTTATCAATCCAATAATAAACTTTAGTAAATCTGAAATTTTTGAACAAATATGTAATAGTAATTTTTTTTTTGGAATTAGGATTTTTTTAAAATTCTGATTTAGATGCCAAAGACTTTGAACTGAACGAGTCTTTTGATTATTATGATGAATTTATCCGAAAGTTAAACTATTTTATGTATACAACGCTTTTTTATGTGTCAAAAAGAAACCTTTTGAAAAAATATTTGAAAAAACATTTGAGCATAGTACATTTTATTGTACTTCACTTCATCACTTATTTAGAGTTATTTTTCAGTTTCTGTTGTGAAAAAAAATAAACAATATTTGTACTGTGAAGTATGTTTTAAGAAGGCATTTTAAAAACAAATACTTTATTACTGTCATTGATATTGTTATTGATAAGTTTTTACCTCAAAAAATTGAATAGAAGCAAGCAAGCCAACTGTAAAATTATTTCAGTGGATTAGTGCTTCACCTTGTTGGTCAACACAAAAAAAACTGTGCACACATAACAACATTGAAAAATGAGTTGGATTACAAAATAAGAAGTAGTTTACAAGTTGTAAATCTGTATCAAATGAAATGGCTGAAATGTTTATCCTGTAAGCACGATCAACCACTATGTGGCACTAGATCTCAACTAGCTGTTAAGTTCGTCACTAGGTACACTTGAAGCTATTACGAGTTCATTTTAGTTGATAAACGCGAATGACACAATTACCAGCATTCAGGTAGCCTTCTTTGATCCGAAACGGCAAAAAAGAAGTCTTGATATAGCGTAGAAAGTATATTCTACAAACACCCAGAAAGCACAATGCAATCAAGTACACAACTCTCATTTGTTTATGTATCATAGAAACGTCCTTGGGACAGTCATAAAAATAGCACACTAAAATACACAGCAGCCAATCACAGACAAGGATTTTCCTGGTGGGAAATGTGATTTTGAGGTCAGCTGATAAACCCATGCTCTTAAACGTTTAATACAAAATAAGACATTTATCAGACGAGTTCTGGGGGTCTAACGTCCCCAACACTAGCATAGGTACATGGCTATCAAAGCATGATATTTTTGGCAGTATATAAGTGGAATTATGTTGAATTCTATGCCCATAGTTATAAGATAATTGGTATTTACAGTTAAACAGACTGTAATCAAGATTGTCAGAATTCTGTTAGTGATGAAAAAGTAATTCTTTTTAATGCCAACCTCAGTTTTCTCTATTCTTAATTTAATGTAACATCACTGACTGACAAGATTCATATTATTTATGTTAAACTGATAATAACCATTGATACGATGAAAAGAATAAACCTTATATAACTAAAGAAAATGTTTTATTCTAAATATATACTTGCTTTTTTGTCGGTCAAAATAAGAATGAACATTGTTCCATTTAAAATTATTCATTAATTTAATTAAAATATATGCTACATTGTTTCATATACTACTTATATCATTGGAATAGTATATATTCGGTGTGGATTTATGCTGAAATAATTTTCAGGTTAATATTTTGATTCGGTAATGTTTCCTTGTTAACTTTATAGTATTTAGATCTAATTCACGTAAACAGTTGACTTGTATATATATACATTAATCATGAATCGATCAGTGTTAGACCACCAGTAGAAATCTGGAAGCACTGGACGGCCATTTCGTTATTGTATAGGACTCATCACCAGTGAGAATACACTGCTCCAGCTCCTCACGAGATTTGACTCTAGGGCTTACTGTCTTGCATATGAAAGCCTAACCACTGAAACACTGAGCAGGTATCTAACGGTGTTAATGTCTAGCACCGTCTAGCACAGTCTTGCGTAATCTAATCCACTGTCTTCGATGAGTACTGCTTCATACCGAAATATGGTTGATCTACACTGGTTGCAACTTCTAACTAGAACTCAGAGAAAATTCCTCATGGAGCTAGTTACCAGTGAGCACAGGAATTCACATTTCGGGGTTGTGGAGATTGTTGAGTTTTTTCAAATAATGAATCGATCAGTGTAAGACTGGTAGTAGAAACCTGGCAGCACAGGACAGCCATTTCGTCCTGATGTGGGACTCATGAGCAGTGCGCATTCACGACTCCTGCACCGGGAAGGATTCGAACCCGTATATATATATATATATATATATATATATATATATTATATATATATATATATCTTGTACACTGATTTCACTTAAATCTGCTTTTTTGTAAAGTATTTATGTTGATAGTATCAATTAAAAATGGATTCATCTTTTACATGTAAAAATTTAACAATACAATTTATTATTATTATTATTATTATTATTCCAGCTCACCGTCCCTACAACAAATCATCGTCCACGTTATTATTCTTTCAATCAGTCGCATCACAATACTGAACAAAATATCAATAATATTAATGATAATAAAACTGAATTCACAACCTATCCAATCAAATCTCATCGATCACCTACAACCACCAATAATAATAATAATAATATTAATGATCATGTTGTCAAAGCTTCAGAAAATCACAATACTCAACAATCACATTTAATTAACGGTTATCACGAATTATCAACACAAGACAATGATGCGCATCAACATCATACTAGGTTGAATGAAAAGCCTAAACTCACTGAATACACTGTAGGAACAATTACACAAATTTATCCAGATGGTTGTGAAACAAAATTGACTGATTCTTCGCCAACAAAACATGAAGCAAAACAAAGTAGTATAATAACAATGTGAGTTTTGAAAAAATTTCTATATTTTTCTAAGGATATTACTTTTATATAGGTATACATAAATATATATATAGACAGACAGATACAACACAGAACTTCGTACATAAGTACATCCGTTCAGGTTGCCATACTATGTCAGCACACAAAGATGTAACTGTCAGTTCAAATCCAAGAGTGATAGCAATAGTAGAATTATTAGCAGCAATGGAGAAGATTAGGAAGCGAGGATATAATTCTAAAAGTATAATTCAGTGAGATAAGTTTAGGAGGAAAAAGATAGAGATTATGAGGAATACAGAAGGTTGGGATTAAAAAGTACGCAGAGTGGATGCATCTGCACCATTGTAAACGATTCTGAGCCATGTCGTTCAAGGTCTCTAACCATTGGTGACTTTCGTCTCGCAGACCCCAACCAGGTAGCCTACATCTACCAACATGACTCAGTTCACTTGTCAGTGACTTCATGGATTTCTGCTATGTTTTGGTTTACAACAATGATGAAAATAATTAATCAAATAAAACAAAGTGACCAATCCATTTTATCATAAAGTTAGAATATAAAATGAAACCTTTCATAACTTAAATACGGATGCGAGATCGATTTTGTTCACTTGTAAATCAAATTACTGAAAATCTCCCTATTAGCAAGCTTACTAATAACAAGTTGTTACAAGTAAGTACTTGTAAAGCAAATGTTTGTGAATTGATAATTGTCCGCTGAATTTCACTTTCAGTAATAACTAAAATTCATGTCAACGTTAGATTTTTCGACAGTAACAAGTACTTCAAAAGTTATGATATTAGTGTGTACACTAAACATTATTATCTAATAGCAATTTGGATAATAAAACTAGATCAGAATAAAGTTATTTCACTTATCTAACAAGACATATATATATATTGCTTGTTAATTTGAAATGTTTCGTAAATTGGCAGTCTTAAACCGTAATGTCTATTGATATGCTTCTGGGACATTGTTGACGAGTTTCGTACACGAAACATTAATGTGAACTATCTGCAACGGTAATCTTTTCGTTTTGCTGATTAGAAATCTCAGTTTGTTTTTTTTATCTAAAAAGTACGTTTACAAACTACAATTGTATTAAGCCTCCATTTTGATATGAATTACAGTTGATAAAAATGTCAAAAATATAACGTGAAGATGAAATACAGAACTGTACAATCACAAAGTACTAGCTTGAATTCGTCATTATCTCTATCTTTCTCTTTCTTACTTTATCTCACTGAATTATACTTCTCAAAACATATCTTTGGACCCTAATCTTTATTTTGGATTTATTTCATGGACCGATCAGTTGACCTTAAAATCACATTTCTCACCAGGAAAATCTTTGGCCATGATTGGTTACTGTGTCATTTTAGTGAGCTATTTTTGTGACTGTCATAAGGACGTCTCTAAAGAGTTTAAATAAACGCAATTTGAAGTGCATGGATTCATTGTGTGCTTGCTGGGTGTTTGTAGAATACAATTTATACACTATATCAAGACTTCTTACTGATTTAATTTGATCAAGGGATCACAGTAGCCTACCTGGACTCTGGTTCATTGTTTTGTTCTCCTTATTCGACTAAGGTGAACTCGTAATAGTTTAGGCATATCTAGAGACGAGCGTAGCAGAATACATCAAAACATGTTCAATTTATAGATCTATCAGAACGAACGCATGGTTCAATAATTAATGCAACCAAACCGACTGGATAAATAAATAAATAAATAAATATATATATATATATATATATATATATATATATATCCGCTTGTTAACCAAAGGACGAGTGTACTGTGCAGCAGCTCGCTCTGTCCTACTATACGGATGCGAAACATGGCTGTTAAGGGTAGAGGACTTTTATAAGTTACTAGTCTTCGATCATAGGTGCTTCCGAAGAATTGCCCATGTATCCTGGAACGACCGAGTAAGCAATGCTATCGTTAGGAAACGAGTTCTAGGTAAGGATGGTAAATCAATAGATGAAGCATTGAAACTTGATCAGTTGAGGTGGTTAGGACAAGTTTTACGTATGCCTAACCACCGACTGCCGCGACATGCTATGTTTTGTGGTGTAGGAGTAGATTGGAAGAAAGTTAGTGGAGGCCAGACGAAAACATGGCAGAAATCCATGAAGCCACTGGCAGGTGGGCTGAGTCATGTTGGTAGATGGAAGCTACCTGGTTGGGGTCTGCGAGACGAAAGTCAACGACGGTTAGAGACCTTGAATGACATGGCTTAAAATCGTTTGCAATGGCACAGGTGCATTCATTCTTCGAGTTCTCTGAAATTCCAGTCTTCTGAATTCATGGACACCTCTACCTTTGTCTTTCTAAACTTATTTCACTGAATTATACTTCTTGAATAATATCTTCAAACCCTAATCTTCTCCATTGCCAGTAGTACTTAGACTATCTCTACCACCATGGGATTCGAATCGACAGTTGCATCTCTGTGCTAATGTTGTTCGACAACCTGAACTGATGTATTTATGCATATTAAAACGTACTGACTGACCGATTGTTGTAAATCATTTTGACATGCAATTATTATTGCAAATAAAATTTCTGTTATATATGTTTCTTACTGTATTCATGAATCAGTTATTGTTAGGTCATTACTACAAACCTGAAAGCACTGGGCACTCGTTTCATCCTAATGTGGAACTCATCAGCTGTGCGCACCCATGACTGCCGCTAACCACATTATTCGAACCCGGTACTTTCGTTCACGTGGGCGTACATTTAACCTCTGGATCACTGAGCCAAAATCCAACAGTGTTAATATCTAACTCTGATCCAATGTAGGGATTTCTCAAAATCTCATCCATTTGTCTTCAATAGGCATTGTATACACTCAACAGGGTTGAATTCCACTGGTCACATCATGTTTTCACCAATAGACTTCAATCTTCATAATTCTGTAATAAAAAAAATATTGATTTCTGTTAACACGTAACACCGTCAACAAATATTGCATTCTTTCATCAAATAAAAATACATATTGTTGTTTAAATTTGATTATTTAAATAAACGTAAGACAACATCAGGTCTAAGGCTAATTGTGTACGTGGGTATGTAAATGTATATATATATATATATATATATATATATATATATATATATATTTCACATTATTCTAAAATTTCACAGACTTCTCTCTCGGTAAAATATTGTTTTGAAAACAAACATGTAAATAACATTGTTTTCTTGTCATTAATATTAACAAATTAAGAAATACATTTCACTTAACAAATAGATACCTTCATAAAATATTGGATTCCTAATCAACAATAAAAGTTATTGTGTGTCAACAATTTAGTGTTCCAAAATTTTTGTATAGAAGAATTTTGTGTTTCTTTTTATCAGAAAATACTAAACACTAATGAATAAAACATTTGAAATCATGAATCAATCAAATTTAGGCCACCATTAGAGACCTGGAAGCACCGGAAGGCCGTTTCATCCTGGTATGGGAGCAGTGAACATCCACAACTCCTGCACCTCTCAGGATTCGAACCCCTCGAGTTTTGGTCATGTGAACAAATGCTTAACCTATTGACCACTGAACTGGTATCTGACGGTGTTAATTTCTAATTTCGTTCAATTCACGGTCTTGTGCAACATCATACACTGTCTTCGGTGGTTACTGTCTACAGCCGAATAGGTTGAACTTCATTGATCACGACTCCTCGCTAGAGCTCGGAGAAGATTCCCCACGGAGCTAGTCACTAGTGAGCACATGTAATTGTATTTGGGAGTGGTGAAGATTGTTAAGTTACTCTCATTTGAAATCATGAATCGATCAAATTTAGACCACCATTAGAGACCTGGAAGCATCGGAAGGCTGTTTCTTCCTGGTATGGGACTCATCAGTGGCAGTGCACATCCACGACTCCTGCACTTCGCAGGATTCAAATAAGCAGTTGCATAGATAAGTAAAAGAAAATGAAATATATAAATGAAGACATTTTTTGATTGATTGATTGATTCAAATTAACTTTTCATTCTAGCTTTATGGAAATTTTTGTTTATTACTGAAATCGTGAATCAGTAGTGCGCATTCGCGGCTGCTTCTATTCAGAGGAACTGAATTCAGAACTAACAGTCTGGAGCGTCAGCGCCTAACTTATGGAACATCGTAACTCTATAATGGAAAATCATGCAGTGTGCTTACTGGTGATTAGCTCTGTGAAAAAATTCTCAGAGTTCTAGTGTGATGTGTTAAGTGGAGTTCAGATTTGTCGGGTGTAGACAATAACTATCGAAGACAATAATACCGCTGGATGCCGACACACTGGTTCAGAGGTTAGGCGTTCGCTCAAAAGACTGTAGATCTTGGGGTCCGAATCCTGTGAGTAGCAGGAGTCATGGATGTGCACTGTTGATTCGTGTCATCCCAGGGAGAAACAGGTGTCCAGTGGTTCCAGATTTCTAATGGTGGTCTAACAATGTCTCACTCGTGTTTCTAGGTTGTAGGCAGTAGATGATGCTCTTGGTTATTGATTTATTGACATTTATCAGTGGGAGACATTGGCATATAGAATGTGATAACTTAACTCAGTGAAGAGAGATAGTCATAACAATTGCTATACTATAGGCAGAAGAAAACAAATCAATGATTCATCTACTAGCTGTTTAAAAGAGAAAAAACAAATAGAAAAAAAACAGCCATCAGATAGATAAACAGACAAATCGATAAAGTGAAAGATAGAGAGAGATGTTTCGATTGTTGTTTACATAAAATTGCTTTTGTACAATGAGTGGATATTATATTTACTTGAAAAAGTGAAATTAACTAGCAGGGATATATGTGTGTGTGCCAAAGTGTTTTTTATGTAGGATATATTACTTTACACTTATGGTTTTTACATCTTTATCATTAGGTGACATAATGAAAGTCAATCAATTGACTAATAATTGACCTCTTTAAATATTACGATAGTTGTTAATACTCAGTAACTTGTTTTTTTTCTCTGAAAGTTAATACTGC